CAGCCAGGTGTTTCACATGGGTGGGCTTGCTATTCATTCTTTTTTGTTTAATTTGAGTGGGTGTGGCCAAAGAGATGGCTCAGGAGCTAAAAGCACATACTGTCCCGAGGATCTGAGCTCTGTTCTTAGCACTTATATCAATTAACTTACAACTACCTAGAACCACAGTGCACAAGCACACACACACACACACACGAAGAAACAAACTACCCCAATCAATCAAGACAGGGCCTTGTTACACAGCTAAGACTAACCTTGATCCCAGCAGATAACCCAGGCTGGCTTCTTAATTGGTTCGGCCTCCTAAGCAAACACCGGGTTTACAGATGTATACCACCATATTTGTTATATCCCAAGCCCACTTTGCAAAAGGTTTATGGGGGCCACCCAGATGGGCCAGTGAGTGACAAGAACTTGTCACACAAGCTGGACAATCTGAATTTAATCCCTGAATCCCAGTATAAGGAGAGAACTGAATCCTGGAAGTTGTTCCCTGCCCTACTCTCTCTCTGTCTCTCTGTCTCTGTCTCTCTCTCTCACACACACACACACACCACACTAAAATAATAATTATCATTTGAAAATGGGCTACCGATAAGGTCTGAGACACAGAGGCATAGCTGTGCTGGGCTGGCATGTCTCAGGGTCAGATGACGGAGAGTGGAATAGACTAAGTACAAGCTGGTTCTTGCCTAGCTGACAAGGTTATTAGCATTAAGTGAGAAATCTAAAGCCTTAGGTACAGTCAGTGTGATAGAAACAGAAATCTGGGAGTGGGAAATCTATAGAGCACTTCTATGTGGCACGCAATATTGCTGGCACTTATTAATGTACTTTCCATTTAACAATGCCAGACCTCGAAGACCATGAGAAAGTTGGGACATTGTTCAGTTTTTTTTTTTTTAACAAGGAGGTGATGAGACTGATGCGATTATATCACATAGGTCAATATTACACTTGTTTCATTTTACAGGCAAGAAAACTATAGGGTAACTAGTCCAAAGTCACTCACAATAAAGAAGTGGCAGAAGCTGGATTGAACAGGAGACTCAAGATAAGGCAACTGGGGTGAAATGCTAACTGATGGGTATAAGTTAAGGCTATGTAGGGTGTTCATTGACCCACATCAAACTGTGAAGTTTAAGCCTTTTCTGTCCACCATACTACAGGACACGTCAATCATTGTCCCCTCTGAAACGCTCTATTTGTACAATGACAATGAATTAAATCATTTACTAAGTCTTTCTCCTTAACATTCTGGGGTTTTTACAGTTACACTAGGTGGCTATGGATTATTAAACCACACCAAGAGCCTGTTCAACTTGCCTTGCAACAAAAAGACTCTAGCAGGGCCCCTATAACAAGCGAGCAGCAGGGAAGGTGGGGGATGCAGATTTGCTCTGACTTCTGACAAGGACAGCTATGACGCCTGCTATGCCACGTTGCCCCCTGCTACATAGAAACTGCTGGCTGTCAGTCTCCATTCACAGAAGAGGACACCTTCTTCTGCCAAGCCTTTGGGTGGAGCTAGAACACCCCCCACACCAAGGGTTCCTAACAACACTGAATCAGCACATGAATCTGGCAGGCTCACAGAGGGAGGGAACTGGAAAAAGGCCCTGGCTGAGAAGAAACCTCCAGCTGAAGCTTCTCCAGTCTCCAGGGTAATGAAGTCAGAAGCCACAACTTCATGCTGTGGATGGGCCAGGGCACAGTAGTGTCCTGTTGAGCTGACAAGCATCCTCTCCAAGTGCCACAGAGCTCATACCAGAGCCTCCCCAAAGTGTTTGTAAATCTATGCACCTCATTACCCTAAGTAATACACTGCTTTTCAGAAGCTCTAAGATGGATTATGTGAAGGCAGGCTCTTTGGGAGGCCCATCTAATCCACCTAGGCTGGCTCCAAGGGCAACTGGGCTCCTCTGAAATGTGGGTGTTCGGACTTGCCCTACTTCTGGAGCTGGTGGGATCATGGATGTGACCTTGCGGTAACATTTACAGGATTAAGAATCAACATACAACCAGGCAAGATGGTGTGTAACTATAGCCCTAGCTACACGGGAGGCTGTCAGGAGGACTGAGTGAGTCTAGAAGTTCAGCCTCAGCAATACAGTGAGATTCCATTGCACATGCCATCCCAGGGGGTGGGGTGGGATGTGTCATGGAACAGATGAATTCACTGGTGCCTGAATCCTTAGGGTCAAAATAAGGATATTCGCTGGCCCCAAAAGTACAGGACTTCATCAGTGTCTGAAAATACATGGTTTCTCATCTCTTAGGGAAAATACACCTTTTTAAGTATTTCATTAAAAATTTTTTTCTTTATTTATTTGTGTGCGTGTGTACATGTACCATATGTGTGCAGGTGCCTGCAGAGGCTGTTAGATCCCTGGAGATGGAGTTACAGCAGTTGTGAGCTGTCAGGGTGCTGAGAACCAAACCTGGGTCCACCACGAGAGCAGTAAGTGCCCTCAACTGTTGAGACATCTCTCTAGCTCCAATTTTATTTATGTGGCTATGCCACAACATGTGTAGGGGCCCCAGGACAATTTTCAGGAGTCAGCTCCTTCTTTCTACCATTGTAGTTCCTGGGAAATGAACTCAGGGCATCAGGATTGATGGCAAGTACCTTCATCCATGGAATCAGCATTTTTCGAGACAGGGTTTCTCTGTGTAGTCCTGGCTGTCCTGGAACTCACTCTGTAGATCAGGCTGGCCTCGAACTCACAGAGATCCATCTGGGATTAAAGGCGTGTGCCACCACCGTTTTGTAGTCCTGGTGCTAAGGATGAAACGCAAGGCCTTGTGCACGGTAAGTAAGCACTTTAAACGAGAGTTAATAGACCCAGTGTGGAAATTTTAAATGGTATTTCTCTGTAAGCTAGGTGGTGACATGTACAGGTATAGTTAGTTGATGGGGACTCCAAAAAAACCAAGTGAGACCAAGTGACACAAATCTTCTCCCTTCAGTTCTTTCTCACTAAGGTCCCAATGATTTTTCACACAACATATATTTATTCAGAAAAATTGCAATAAATTATAATAAAAAAGATGACACAAAATACAGATTCCCACTAGCAGCTTTGCTTAGTGACTGAGACATTTTGTGAAATATAACAAAGAACTTCAGATTAAGAATCAGAAAGCAGTGAAAGAACTAATGTAATAGCATCCAATAGATTTGAATAATTTCTTCCTGAAGACACGAGGTGCTGAGTTTCTCCCTACCAATTGGATATGAAATCCTTAATTTGGAAGAACTAATGAAATAGTACCTTAGAGGAATTAGGGATTCCTCCCTACCAGTTGGATATAAAATCCTTAATTCAGAGGAAATATGAGGTTGAGGTTCTGGAGAGGCAGGGTAGGGAAGCGAGTTTCTTCCATCTGATCTGTTTTGTTTCCCCTACCTGGAGATTGTCTAAAAGCCTCAACTGTATATACATCCTAGGCCAAGCTGAACAAAAGGTGGAGGCAGTGAAGCAACTTGGTGCTTTGGCCTGAGGAAGGAAGGACATTACATGCATGCTCCACAGAGCCCCTGCTAACCATATTCTTGGTCACCCAAAGACCCAAGGTTGGCAAAATATTACAAAATGGGCACAGGAGAGGCATTTCCCTGTGGACCATTTTGCCTTGCCCCAGCTCCTATCATCTGCTTTTTAGGTGATTACTTTCTGGCCTAATAGATACAACAAAACTCCTAGTTCTGAGTCTTCCACTAACCAACTATTGACCCAGGTAAGATCTTCAGTTTGCTGGCAACAATACTTTGAGTTCTTTTTCTCAACTCCCATTTGGGGAAGGGCTTAAGCGGTCTACTGCAGGATACACACCTTTTGTTCTCCAAAGAGCTCAATTTTGAGGAGACGAGAGAACTGGAAAACCACTGGATGTTGGATGTTTCCCTGGCCCTCTCCTCGGATGCTACAAGAGTCATGAAATCAGCACCCAAGATTATACACACAGCCTTCTGCAAGCTCGGTATGCCCAATGGTAAGAGGCAAGAATGAGATAACTTGCATTGGTTTTGATGAAAGAGAACCAAGCAAGCCAATTTTACCAGGCGGTTTGCAGTTAGTAGCTGGTGGTGGCTTGTTTGCCAGCCAATATATTAGTTCTTAAAAAAGTCTGTCCACACCACAATGCTTGAATAAAATGAAAAGCCCAGAGTTGTTTTAGGTGGGAGAGGTAAAGTGTGTGGCTGGTCCCACTGACCAGCCTCTCTTACACAGCACTGGATATAGTGACTAGGCACCAAGGGCAGGCTTTCGATCCTTGATGTGAAGGAGTCAGATAAGGAGCCCAGAGTCAGCCCTGCTGAGAGAGGGCAATGTATTCCCTTGATATGTCTGAAGATAGGAGAAAGGGTTCTGAGGGTTACCCTCAATAAGTCTAGGGGAGGAAGAAAGGTCCATGGGGCCTCACTTGAGGTACACGGACTCCTTGTTTGACTGTGATGCAAATATTATTCTGGAAATGGGTTTCTAGTGGAAGATGAGTTCCCAAACATCCAGGATTACGTACACCTCATGTCAAGTTTCGATACTAATCAGCAAAGGGAATTAGGAAGCAGGACCTGTCAAGCATGGACAGTTTCACTCCTCAAGTACTCACAGGGCTTTCCTCGCTCGTGTAATTTTCTCACATCAGTGGGATGCCATCTCCATGGTCCATAAAACTATGTAACTAAACATGACCCGAGACAAGGGAATATGGTTCCACCAAGTGTGGATCCACGAGAAGGCCAATGGTACAGTGACACATAGACATCCTTGTAGTAGAAATGCACCAGTGTATGCACCAATCACATGTAGACAGTGAGCTTCATGGTTGAGGACACCCAAGGAGTCACTAGTCTCATCTAGGTGTCCTTCAGAGTGCGAAGTAGTGACACGGGGAAACGGTGGGTCCAAAGTGCGTTATGAGACAAGTCTGAGTTATAGCAAGTAGTGCTTGTCGGCCTAGAATGTATGCCTCAAAATCAAGGCCTTGGGGCATTAAAGATAATCGTGATGCCTGGGAAACAGGGCAGGAAGCACACCCCTAGGTAAAGGAGTATAAATACAGGCCTCTTTGCTTTACAAAGAGTAAACACAAAACACCAAAATATGGTAACTTTGGCTTGGAAATATATGCCTAAAAGGATTTTGCTGTGTAGGATATGGTGAGGAGGGGTGAAGAAACGCTTTCCTTTGTACTATTACCAGAACTTAAGATCCTACAGTAGACCCTTTTGGTGTCATGACTCTTCAAATCATTCTGAAATACGAGGAGCCCAAGATCTTCCTCCTCTAGAATCTCACATAGGAAAAGACTTAGTCTTCCTCACTCCCGAGCAGGAAGACCAGAAGGAACTGGATGGCACGCTGGCGGTCACCTGGGGTCTGTCTTGCCATGAGGTTTGGTGGAGGCCTTAGGAGAAGGCTCGTGAAGAGAGTAGCTGGAGGGTAGGAGAAAGAAAAGGGGAAACCCATTGTCAGACTTGACCTAAGCAAAACCTGAAGGTTCAAGGTGCAGGGAACAAGAACAGTAAGAAGGCCGGGCGGTGCTAGCGCACGCCTTTAATCCCAGCACTCGGGAGGGAGAGGCAGGTGGATCTCTGTGAGTTCGAGACCAGCCTGGTCTACAAGAGCTAGTTCCAGGACAGGCTCCAAAACCACAGAGAAACCCAGTGTCGAAAAACCACAAAAAAAAAAAAGAACAGTAAGAGGGAAGTGACTGCCCCATTCCCGAACATCAAATACGGTAGAGATTACGCATGATGCTCCCAGATGATTCTTGGCAAACACTCGCACAGACTTGCTCATGTAGTCCCCTTACCGATCATGTTGGCACTGACGTTGTTGTAGTCAGAGAATTTTAAGAGCTCGCGAAGGAATGCCATCAAGTAACGGAAAACGTTTCTATGACATCTTGGAAGCTGGGAAATGACCTGTTTGTTAAAGAGGAGCGTGGAGTGAGGTAAAAAGCTTAAGGGGCATAAGCGTTTAGAGCTGCCATAAGAACAATTTGGAATCTAACTCTTCGTGGCCCCATTTGCCTGTCACTACCCTCCATTACTTACTCATGACCAGTAGTAGATTTATTACCTGACGAATTAGAACTCTGAAGTGGGTATGGTTTGGTTTCTCTCTATTTAATGTCCAGGTCATGCACTCACCTCGGAGTCCCATTTGCACAGTGCCTCACCAGAAGGTAAGTGTTCATCTGTTCCTTTTCTCCTTTTCCACCAACAGCAAAGGCATCTGTCAACTTAAGTGTTTTTTCTCTACGATCTTACTTGGCAATGATGGGTCCCTCCTACCAGCACTCACTGAAGTGATTCATAGCTGGTCTCAGCCATTGTGAACCAAAATATTCTCAAGATGAAAAACACACCAAGAAGGGAAGAAGGGGAAGGAAGGAAAGGGAAAAGAGGAAAAAGAAAGGCTCCCAATTGCTACGAACTTTTCCTGGTAATGACAGCTAGAACTGCCCTTACAATTATTTGCCAAACAACCCTTGGGTTCAAGTAACCACCACCCCACTAAGTTTTTCTGTTAACAGAAATAGGTCAACTAGAAAACATTCCAATATAATAGAAAATGCTAGTACCTAAATTCAAGGGTTTCAACTTCCTTCATTTATAGTGTGTGTCAGGGGCAAGGTGCTTGCACAGATCAGAGAATAACTAATGGGAATTGGTTCTTTGTTATCATCACTCTTGGTTCTGGGGATCAAACTTAGGTCACCAGGCTTTGTGGCAAGCACCTTGACCCATCAAACAATCTCACTGGCTCTCCCAGTCTTTTTTTTTTTTTTTGGCTTTTCAAGACAGAGTTTCTCTGTGTATCCCTGGCTTTCCTGGAACTGGCTTTGTAGACCAGGCTGGTCTTGAAGTCACTGATATCTGCCCGCTTCTGCCTCCTGAATGCTGGGATTAAAGGCATGTGCCACTGTGCCTGGCTCAAGGGTCTTAACTTTTAATGATGGTATCCTGTCATGAAGAACAGACGCAGGCCCATTCTATCATATAGCTTTGTAAAACTGAAGACTCCTCTATGGGAAAACCTGCACTGGGCATATCCCCAGAGCAGCAGAACTCACCTGTCTGCAGATACGAGGATCATGAGCAGAGTCAAGACATCGCTGATACAGCTCATAACAGATGACAGGCTCTGGTAGCGCTTCCAGGAAAATAAGTAGTGCCTCAGCCACAGAGTGGTTACTGCCAGCTGAATTACCATAGTCAAGGGCAGAGGGACCCAGAGAAAAGCAAGACAGACATGTGACTGGCTCCCTTCCTCAAGTCTCTAAGAGGGATGATTGTTTTCTTCTCTTTTAGGATATACTGCTCCTGACTGGAGTTTGATAATGGTCCAGGTATTTTGCAGCCAAGTAGGTAGAGAATTGCCCAAAGCCCCTTGAGAGTCCCTTCACTAAACTAGAGACTCAGGGAGCACAGCCTGCACAATGATAGGGCCCAGTGGATGGGATATAAACTGGATGTCAGTGTTTTTCTTATTCTTCTTCCCGCCCTATGCTAGCACTTGAATGGGAAGGCTAGCAGGAATGACCAGCTGGCTGAAGGAGAGCAGTATTGGTGCTGTGGATCCCTCGTCCCATGCTCCTTGTTGTCCACCCCTCGATTCCTCTTAGGCCACACAGAGAGACTAACAGATCTCGACAGGTCTTGAGAAAATAACAAGATATTCAGTGACTATCTTGTAATAAGACAATGACAAAAGTCGATATAGAAACACAAAATCAAACGCAGGCGGGAAAAGACTTTGGCCACACATCTGTCCAGCTTCCCGAGCCTTGGGCAGAAAGGATACGGATTGTCTCAGGAATGCTGGTATCCAGACAATCAATGATCTGCTGTAACTCCTCCTGCATTCCAGGCGTTTGGAACAGGTCCTCCTACCAAAGAAGTCAGAATGAAGGGACCTAGGCAAGCTCTCCATCCACTTAAGTTCTGAAGCTTGCCCAGGAACTGGGAGAGCAGCAGGAAGAAATGTGAAGGGAGCACAAGCATTAACGGGTAGGGAAGGAGGTATGGATGTAACATCGTCTTCCTTTAGTGTTGCTGTAATCCATGTCAACGTTTATCTCAAGCAAGAAAATGACCTGTACAAAAATGACATGTCAGCCTCTAACTGATAGGGCAAGGGACTAGATGGCCAGATCAGGAAGCCAGACAGTCCACTGAGGCTCTGGAAAACAAGGCAGAGTGGACCCTGCATAATCACAGCCATATCAAATATGGACAGAATTGGATGCCAGGAAAGGAGGAAATGGCACATTCACGACAAAACTTGGTTTCCAAGTTATATTAGTCTCAGTAGGTCTGAGAAACATTACCTTCAATTTGGTCAAAGAAAGTTCTTTCTTTTAGGGAATGAGTCGGGCATGGCTAGTGTTTCAGTATAGGATTTAAAAGAAAACTCAGTGCTATGTGAAGGAAATGGGCGTGAAGTTTGTTTTAGTTTTAAAATTTGTACTTGGCTACAGGGCAGCTAAAAACAGGCATTGGACTGGGGCACTCAGTCGTTCAGGGCAAAGTGCATAACACAAGCCTTGGGCATTCTCAGTTCTGGCCATGGCTCTGCCGTCAGACTCAGAGTGTGGTCTCAGGCGCCTTCTCAGCTTGTATGCTTTAGAGGTCCGACAGCACAGCCGCATGGAGGTTGCTTGGATGGGTGAAACGCACTACATTGATGTGAAGCACTGGAATTTCCTACAGGATTCACACACACTGTATAGTTTCATAGAAGCTTTTCTCACACTTACCTGGTGACGGGCATATCTGAATAAGTGATCTACTAGAAGCCAGATCTCCTTGGGGACCTGAAGTGGTTGCTCACTAGCACCTTCCTCCAAGGGGACCATCTGGAGAAGGGATTTCTCCTAACAGATGAAAAGGGATGAAAGTCAAAGGGGTCTCAGAATAAAGAGATAAATCTCTTTCAAAATCTGCACAAATAAGCACAGTGTGATCTTTGTCTCTTATGCTTGTGCATTTTCTTCTCAGAGGGGACATCCATGCGCGGGAGACACTCAGTAGTGATTCTGGTACTTAACCAATCGCCTTCCATAGTGCTTCATTCAATCAGCAAGCATTTCATTTGTACTTGGGGTGTGCATCCTCTGGATGCATTCCATACTCTGAAGTGAGACCCAGCACGACAAGAATATAATACAGTCACAGTGGAATCTACACATGACCAGTAGCTGGACCTTGAAATCACAGTTGTTAGTATGGCACCCCAAAAGGCAATGTTTACATTTAGGTTTCGGTTTATTCTACGAACTCTCCCTTGAAGTCTCACGACAAATACTTCTGGGAGTTGTATTGTTTCTTTAACTGATTAACTTGGTTCTGAGAAATTAAAGATAATTCTGCTCATTAGATGCATAAATATGGATTCTTCAGGCTTGATCCAAGTTTCTAATCATAAGGTCCAAAATCCAAAAGTAATAACCTGGAATATAGCAACCGAGGAGCTAGAATACCGTGAAAATTTCCAGAAATTTAATTTATGTTAATAGCTCAGAAAGATTTCTAGGGGCTATTATTTGTTTTACCTAGTTTTCTATTGTTAGAGTCTTCTGAAAGATAGAAGACAAAAATCCAGAAGTGACATATATCAGACAAATAACTAAATTCAAAGGGCAAAATAAACTCAATTATCTCCCAACACTCAAAAATAAATGTTAATTTAGCTTACATTTATAGATTCAAATAGAAAGCATATGAAAAACATAATCAAACTAGGCTAAAAGGCATCTGAAGACAGTCTTCAGAAGAACCCCAGTGGAGAAAGCCATGTTCGGATTTTAGCATCCTCTTCCTTTTGCTAACTCTAAGTCATGCATTATATATTGTCAATTTTCAGCTTGTTGTCTGACACTGTACTACCTATAACCTCCAGCCATATAGCTTTAAGGGAAATAAAAAAAAAACTATCACTATGCTCACAGGGACCACATATGCTACAGCAGCACCCAGGTATTTTCTTAACAGGTGCTCTTTAATAAGTACCAATAAACTTTCAGGGAAGAGAAGGGAGTAGGGATTGTTAGCTACCATCACCTTTCCTTCCTCTCTTTCCCTGGGATGCTATGTCTTGATATTCATACTTTATGTGGTTGCTATAACTCCTATTGGTGACTCGCCTACTAACTTCATTCTAGTTGTATGTATTACATGCAGGTATCCACCTGCTATTGGAGCCCAAACATTTCACAATGCATGCTACTAACTTTTTGAATCAAACAGGACACATGTGCAGACTCTTTAGCAGATGTCACCCAACTTAACAAGTATAAATTATTCATGCTTGACTCATATATTTTCGAAGAAAAATCTGACATCCAACTAAAGGTTATTCCTGTCCTGAGGCATTAAGACAACACAAGGCACAGTCTAACTGTATAGACAGAACATGGACTGCCCTTAACAGAGAAGAGCTAAGAAGCAAAGATATCTCAAGCCTTAGTGGTTTAAAAGGTTAATAAAATGTCAGTAGGTTATATACAGCATCTACTATCCACTTTCAAATTCACGTGTGATAATAGGAAATGTTACACTTGTAGCTCTGAGGCCTAGAAAAGGATACAATAAGAAAATGGGGCATGAATAGTTACAAAAAATGTTCTGCACATTATTGTGAACTCTGATGTTCCAAGAGGAACCAAGACACTCTGCTTCTTTCAACAAGACCCCCTATTTGCCTTCTTAGCCTACACTTAGTGCTAGTGGTTAAAGATTCTCCACCTTCACAATGCATTCAATTCCACCCAGTGGAGAAGTCCCTCAAACACTCTATGAGCATGCTGTGGAATGTGGAGCTCCTGCCCGTGTTTGGCAGCCCTGAGGGGAGCCTGGCATCTCCAGTTGATGATGGAAGAGGCTGCGAGGCACTGCAGAAGGGGCATGCCACTAGACAGTTAGGAAACAGCACCCACACCTGGCACTCTGGTGCTCAGAGGCAGTGGGACCTTTTAATAGCCTTTTCTACTTTTCTGGACCTTGGGCCATGTCTGCCAGAACCTAGAAAATATCTTTCTTTGGTTAAAGACAGATGGCTAGATTAGATGATTTATGATTTAGTTTCACAATTCTACTTTATGCTCTATTTCTTGACTATATCTGGGTATTCTCTGAAAGTAATTAACCATTATTACCAAGAACTCCCAAATCACTCCTCTGTTGTACGTGTGGTCCATGTGTATGCCTGGGTATATGTGTGTATGTAGGCCAGAGGTTCACACCACTTGTCTTCCTCAGTCTGTTTCCATCCTATTTTTTTTTTTAAGACGGGTTCTCTCACTGAACATGGAGCTCACAGATGCTATTAAACAGGCTGGCTAGTGAGCGTCAGGGACCTACCTGGTATCTGTTCCCTAGCACTGGCATCACAGATGTGTGCTGCTGTACCTAGCTCTTCTGTTTATACAGGTGTTGGAAGTCTGAACTTGGGCCCTCACGGTTGCCTAACGACAAGTACTTTATTTATTTTTTTTTAATAATTTTTTTTTATTAAGAAAAGAAGAAAAAAAAACATAAACAAAAAACAAGTTTCCACCTCCTCCCAGCCTCCCATTTCCCTCCCCCTCCTCCCACCCTTCTCCCCCTCCTCCCACCCTTCTACCCCTCCCCCCACTCCTCTCCCCCTCCCTCTCCAGTCCACAGAGCAGTCCAGGTTCCCTGCCCTGTGGTAAGTCCTAGGTCCTCCCCCCTCCGTCCATATCTAGGAAGGTGAACATCCAAACTGGCTAGGCTTCCACAAAGCCAGCACATTAAGTAGGATCAAAACCCCGTGCCATTGTCCTTGGCGTCTCATCAGCCCTCATTGTTCGCCATGTTCAGAGAGTCCGGTTTTATCCCATGCTTTTTCGGTCACAGTCCAGCTGGCCTTGGTGAGCTCCCAGTAGATCAGCTCCACTGTCTCAGTGGGTGGGTGCACGCCTCGTGGTCCCGACTTCTTTGCTCATGTTCTCCCTCCTTCTGCTCCTCATTGGGACCTTGGGAGCTCAGTCCAGTGCTCCAGTGTGGGTCTCTGTCTCTGTCTCCATCCATCACCAGATGAAGGTTCTATGATGATATGCAAGATATTCGTCAGTATTGCTCTCGGATAGGGTCATTTCAGGTTCCCAATCCTCAGCTACCCAAGGAACTAACTGGGAACCTCATGTTGGGCACTTGGGAGCCCCTCTAGGGTCAAATCTCTTGCTCACCCTAAAGTGGTTCCCTTAACTAAGAATTGTGGTTCCGTGCTCCCCTATCCACCTTTCCTTTATCCCAATTCTCCTGATTCCCCAAATCCCCCCTATTTCCCTTCTACCTTTTCTCTCCCCATCTCCCCTTACCCCCATCCCACCCCACCCCCAAGATCCTAATTTTCTCCCCGGGAATTGGGTCTACTTCCCTTAGCCAAGAGGATAACTATATGTTTTTCCTTGGGTTCACCTTCTTACTTAGCTTCTTTAGGTTCACCTATTGTAGACTCCGTGGCCCTAATTTATGGCTAGAAACCAATTATGAGCGAGTACATCCCATGTTCATCTTTTTGGGTCTGGGACACCTCACTCAGGATAGTGTTTTCTATTTCCATCCATTTGCCTGCAAAATTCGAGAGGTCATTGTTTTTTACCGCAGCGTAGTACTCTAGCGTGTATATATTCCATACTTTCTTCATCCATTCTTCCATTGAAGGGCATCTAGGTTGTTTCCAGGTTCTGGCTATTACAAATAATACTGCTATGAACATAGTTGAACAAATGCTTTTGTCATATGATAGAGCATCTCTTGGGTATATTCCCAGGAGTGGTATTGCTGGGTCCAGGGGTAAGTTGATCCCGAATTTCCTGAGAAACCGAAACACTGACTTCCACAGTGGTTGCACAAGATGGCATTCCCACCAGCAATGGATGAGGGTACCCGTTCCTCCACAGCCTCTCCAGCAAAGGTTATCCTTGGTGTTTTTGACTTTAGCCATTCTGACAGGTGTAAGATGATATCTCAAAGTTGTTTTGATATGCATTTCCCTGATTGCTAAGGAAGTTGAGCACGACTTTAAGTGTCTTTTGGCCATTTGAACTTCCTCTGCTGAGAATTCTCTGTTCAGTTCAGTGCCCCATTTTTTAATTGGGTTAATTAGCATTTTAAAGTCTAGTTTCTTGAGTTCTTTATATATTTTGGAGATCAGACCTTTGTCTGTTGTGGGGTTGGTGAAGATCTTCTCCCAATCAGTAGGTTGCCTTTGTGTCTTATTGACTATGTCCTTTGCTTTACAGAAGCTTCTCAGTTTAAGTAGGTCCCATTTATTCAATGTTGCCCTTAATGTCTGTGCTTCTGGGGTTATACATAGGAAGCGATCTCCTGTGCCCAGCTCCTGTAGGGTACTTCCCACTTTCTCTTCTATCAGGTTCAGTGTGTTCGGGCTGATATTGAGGTCTTTAATCCATTTGGACTTGAGTTTTGTGCACGGTGATAGATAAGGGTCTATTTTCATTCTTCTACAAGATGACATCCAGTTGTGCCAGCACCATTTGTTGAAGATGCTTTCTTTCTTCCATTTTATACTTTTAGCTCCTTTATCGAAAATCAGGTGTTCATAGGTTTGTGGGATAAAATCCGGGTCTTCTATACGATTCCATTGGTCGACTTCTCTGTTTTTATGCCAGTACCACACTGTTTTCATTACTGTAGCTCTGTAATAGAGTTTGAAGTCAGGGATGGTAATGCCTCCAGAAGATCCTTTATTGTATAGGATTGTTTTGGCTATCCTGGGTTTTTTGTTTTTCCATATAAAGTTGATTATTGTCCTCTCCAGATCTGTGAAGAATTTTGATGGGATCTTGATGGGGATTGCATTGAATCTATAAATAGCCTTTGGTAGAAT